TTTCTAAAGAATAGAAATTTAAAATTAATAAGAATAATATAGCTCAATATAAATGACACATTTTAACAATGTTTCTTAAGGTCACGAACAAGTAAAATTAAATTTTATTAGGCTACATTTGTGAACGTTTTCATAAACGATTTGTTTCTTTAAGACTAGAGTAGAACACATTAGGGCTGAGGCCAACTAAAGCGGACGTCTAACAAGGAGCAGACGAGAAATAGATTACGCGATGAGTTATCAATGGAATTGACTGACTCAGCGCGTGTGTTATTAATCGTCAATTACCGTGTTGAATGAATCGCTGACCGTTACTGAAATAGTCATTCATGTGATGATTCATAAGAATAACAATTAAAAAATCGAAAATTCATCAGCAGAACGTCAAATATCTATTACTAGTCTATTTCAATCTATAAATAAAATATTTTTTATTGTAAAAGTGGTGTTCCATTAAAGATATTGGAAGGTACATTTTTTTAAGAAGATATATCATTTTTTCATTAACTTAAATAGAAAATGAAAATATAATTTCGCTCTCCTAAAATGCGAGGAATTGGTAATACGCTTCTTTAATCCAAGATCCTCGTATGTAATGTATTATGTAAATTGAACGACAATAACATAGGTAGGAGCAATTCAAATTTTTTTCTATACTTTTAGTAGAAGCCTTTGTTAACCTTTGTATTATACGCATAAGTATTCACCTTTNTGTTAATGTAGGAGCAATTCAAATTTTTTTCTATACTTTTAGTAGAAGCCTTTGTTAACCTTTGTATTATACGCATAAGTATTCACCTTTGTATATTTTTATTAAAAATAACATTTCAAAATATTCAAAAACTGGAGTAAATAAAATAATTTACAAATAAATGCTAGCTAGCTTAACGATCGTCAAATTAAAACAGATTCAAAAAATAAAAAAACTTCTCTTGTATCACTCGTAAAAGCCTTCAAAATGCTAAAACTTTACTAAGAGTGTTTTCCATCTAAGGTCAATTCTAAGATAACAACACACGAGAAAACTTTACATGACAAACGAGTTTTCATGTATTTCCTTATTACTTTTTCGTAACCGGATACTAGAAAATACAAACTTACTAGTACTTATAAACTTTCACAAAGGTTATAATAATGACTGTCACAAATCGCATAATTTCAATTTTTTTTAAGCTTTATTTTGTCTACAAAATATAATTTACAAATAACTTAAAGTAATGTTACACAACTATCCATATCTATAATAAAGAAGATACAAAAGGGTTTAGATCTTTCAAAATCTTTACACAAATATACGTTACCTCAATAACAAAATTCATAGTTGCCAGCCAGAAAATTGTCCTTATTATTGTGAAAAACTGATAACGATCATTATGAACTTATTGTTTTAATTATGCAATATCAACTTAAGTAAAACGATCTATGAGATATATTTTTTCGATGGAATATCATTAAATTAAAAGTAATGAATCTCATTGATCTGAAAAGATGACCTTTTTATGAAAATTATTAATTCACTTTTATGGCTAAATAATGGACATGTTGATAAAATCATATCCCGAGACGATCAATCTCCACTCTGATAAAACAACACGAGTATAAAAAAACATTGGTACTTTTTTCATTATCAGCCGACCACACGAACCAATAATAATCACCGTCCGTCGAATGTAATGATCAGTCTATATTATTATTAATAGGGTGTCCTATGAGGTGGTTTTCCACTGAAGAGAAAAACTATGTAACTACGCCGGTATAAAGTGCCGGCGACGGCTACGTAGTAAAACCGTCGGTGGTTGTGGCGCCGGATTTCTACCCCTAGTCGCCATCGCCTAGCTATTCCCCGTCGGTGGTTCTTGAACCCTCTACTACCCTCAGCCAAACGACGCCGTCCCTGGAGTTTTCGGGCAGCACTACCGAGTCGAATGATCAATATTTTTACAATAATATATACGCAACACCGCTACCCTACGCCTTCCGCAATCTCTGTCTCACCACTTTTGTTTGAATGGCGTGTGTTCCGCAGCTCAGTCATACAGAATATTAAATGACCAACAAATTCGATGACACTGTGCTCAACCGAAAAAACTTAGCGTCCGTCGTCTGTTATAATGATTTCAGTGTAATACGATAATAATGGGTAGAGGTAACGATCGCAGGATATACACTCAGCTAGTCACTCTGGGCAGTGCGAAGAGAGGTCATGACAAATTACACTATCGCTCCTGATGGGTAAATGTAACACACTGAATTTGACACACATGATCCATAGTACTTAATAAACTAACGGCACAAGTTTTTGGTAAGATTATGTATAAATTTACAATCAAGAAATCCACTTCACGTGGCACTCAATTTTAAGTGTGTTCTCTTTAGACATGTTTACTTATTAGCGCCCGTTTACAATGTTCGAGTTTTAACGCTTACAGTTTATCGATTCACGAACCTATAACGTTACGTAAAACTATTAAGCAAACAAAACGTATAAAAATAACAAGTGAAGTTGAAAAAAAGTTCACGAAATCTTATGTAACCATCGCATTGAGTCTATACCACCATCGGGTCATTCGTAAACGAGACATACCTATACAACGTGTGCGGGATGCACGCCCTGAGATTTTAGATCTTTAAAGAAACGTTACAGTGTAACCGCTTTTTATGATTGTTTTCCAAATAATAACCAAGTCTAACTGCTATTAGACGTTTTTACTGGCAAAAGGTTTTCTAATGAACTCATTTCTATAAAATAAACATGCTGAATCACGTTAGTAGCGGAGGCCGTTACTTGGTAATTGTACTACCTCTTGACTCGCAACCGAAACAGTAACCAAAATCTTTTTCCTCGCAGAGAAACCCACGATTGTTACAGGTGAATATTATTATGCGAAACACGTTCAACCATTAGTCACCCCTAAAATAACTTGCCACTAAGCGCTCACGTGAAACTACCAAACTTCAAGAAATAATATAATTTTGAAAATTAATTTATTTCAGTAAGTATATCCGAATGAACGTTAAAATATGCTAAGATAATTTAGATTCGCCTAAGAAGATATTGTTTCTAACCAGTTTAACCAGATGTAAAGCATTCTATAAGAGAAAAAAATATTGCCCGCCGATTTTTTTTTTTTGTTGGAGGTAGTGTCCGGTATACTTTTTACGAAACCTATCTTCAAGGTCAATGTCATAGTCCATGGAAGTTATATCCGAGAACTAAATTGCACGCGGAACACCGCGTACGTAATGTTGCCAGGTGGTCATCACTTGGCAACACCTGCCCGTCGAAACGGTACTAATAACAATGAACCGAGAAAGTGGAAGCGGTAGAATAGGTACAAAAACCCAGGGAATATGTATTTTACCAATTTAAAAGATGTATACATTTTTTTTTTTGTACTATTTTGATATGTTAAAATAATAAACATAGGTTGATTACCACAGCATAATTTTGCGCTCAATATGAGCTTAAGAGCAAAATACATTATAGTATGATATAACATAATATTATACTATGACTAATAATTTATGTTATTATCGAATATTTACTTTTGTAATTGATAAAAAAAAAAAAAAATTGCTAGAAGTATTAGATATGACTCATGAACATGACATTTAAATAATAAAATCAACAAAATTATGATGTTCTCATACAATAAATTTCATCCCAACGTCAGTTATACGATATTTTCCTCTTATAATCAATATGGTGTGTATTTTTTTTTTTTTGTAGGGGTTGGGCGGGGCACGCGACATAGAAAACAGAAGCTGTCTGCATGACTCACACATTCACGTTTAGTTTTTACGTTAGAAGTCAGAATATACATTATTACTATAGATAGCAGTAATATTTACTCCATAGCTATAACCCGCAGTGTTTTTAAAATCACTGCGATGCAGTGCAAGGTTTTGAAAATACATTAACTCAGGCTCTGTAGCTAAAGAATAGTCTTGGTATGTGTTCTCAGGTAACACTACCTTTTTTTTTTTTTTGGAGCGTAAAATTATATCGGGTTACTATACAACTACTACAACCATCGCCACATGTTAGGGGCGGTAACGCGATTTAGCGAGGATCTTTTGTACACGAGTTTCTTTTCTTGACTGTGTAGTGTACCTATATCGTTATTCGTATTTCAATATCAAAAACACCTGGCGATGACCGGAGGAGATCGGTCGCCGTACAACGAACCAGATATTTATTTTACAATAATATTGTAATACCGGTCACGGTCCATCAGGGACATAGAGTAGTAATGGAGAATGCCGGATAACGTCTGCCCCGCATCGACCTACCACTTTGGCCATAACCACCACTCTGCTCGAAATAAAGTACCTCAGAGATGAACCTAAGTCATCGACCATAAAATTTCAAGAGGACTTTATCGCGACATTCTGTCCCACTAATCTGTGCGTATAACACGCATATAATTAGCTACCTAGACACGTTGATACGACCGTTACCATGGTGAAGGCCGGCCGACTAAACAGAAATAAATTAGGTTAGGTAAAGAACACGGTGGTCATTATGGGTACACCTTTCTTCCTATTTGTCATTTACCTGAACTCACATTTATTTTTGTATCAAAATGTCTTGTGTAGCATACATAGAAGTAATCGTCGTAAAGATCATAAAAATTTAACCCCTTGTGACTAGTATCCATGATCAAAAATATTTTTGAATATCAGAAAAACCAGTAAACGAACAAATTTGACTGGACATCTGAAATTCTATTGTTTACAAATGAAATTATTATTAGTATTAAGGTAATTTCACTGAATCGTTAAACCGGTTTCAACTAAAAAAAAAAAATCCGAAATTTAAGGAATACCTTGAAAGAGTTTATTGTTTTTGAGAAACATTTAAATAGTCAATTACTCAAAATAGACCATGTTATTTCCATAATATATAGAAAAAAAAATCATTTTATGAGTAAAGTCAAAGCAGCATTAAGATTATTTTCAAAAGAAAATTGATAGATACGCGATTGTTTTTTAATTACCTGATCAAAATCAAGCGTTGTCATCAGAGTGTCCATCACAGTCTTATCATTATTGTCAAAGTTTAAGGAAAATTGATTGGTTGTAGCTACAGCGCACAGGAACACTAACACCGTTAGCGCGGAACACTTTGAATCTTTAATCATTTTGGGAAAGTGTTTTATATTAATTAAATTAACTATATACAAAAATAAAGACGAAACGTTGGGTGATTACAATTTGTAGTGTACTTAACGTATTATTAGTTACAATAAAACATTGTGGTATCGCGAAAAGTAATTTTTAAAACTACACATAAGCACCGTCACTTCCCGAAAGACCATATGATCCGCTAACCGGCAACGGACAAACTAATAAGAAAAAACCGCGGGCCCAGCACAGTCGTGATCGTTACACGAGCGTATACTAACGGCACCCGGCTGAACTACCAACTGCCCGGCAGGCGGGCCAATATGACTGGATCAATATTTCCCGCCACCAACGCGGTACAATCTTAACGGCGCCGCCGATTCCTCAAACATCTATTCATCCCACATTCTTCGTGCCAAGGAAGAAATCGTCTGTAATTACCTATAGAATAACCTAGTCAGTCATGATTTACACATGGATCATAAAGGCAAATAAAACTCAAGAACACATAAGTATCAAAACTGCAATGTATTGATCGATTCAAGTGATATAAATTGTCTAATATAATAAAAATAGAAGTATTATAATAATTCATTTATTACATTTAATGAAGAAATTTTATAAATTTTTTTGCATTTCATTATGTAATCAGAGACCTATCTAGGATTTTTCTTTTGAAAGAGAATTTCGAATAAAAAGAGTTTACCTCCTTTAAATCAATTAGGTAAATAAATACTGTAAAACATTTACAAGAGAAGTCACCTTGATCGCACTTACAAGATACATTTAAATATGACAAATATTAAATTTTGTAGGGATAAGAAAAAAAGTTCTTATAAATTTACCACCTCCATAATAACAAAATCTTAATTATTTTATAAAATATTAATATGTTTTGACGTGGTGTAACGCAGTGGTCATACTAGTTGCTAACATGCATTAGTGTTAAGCCTTGCCTGGCCTGTAGGCTCACCGATGGGTAACTATACGCGAGTTTTTACAGCTGTAAAAAAAAAACAATATATCCTAAGTGTAGAATTCAACGAAAAATCACTGCAAACAACATCCTCCCTAGTATACACCAGTTCAACTGTAGTTGACAGGTACAAACAAACCTTAGGGCTGATAACTATAAAAAAAAATTACGTATTTTATCATAACTTTTTTTCATTTAGGAAGGATTTAAATCTTATATTCAATAATACATAATCATATAAATTCAACATCCATTACCCACTGAAGTTGGTGAGATAATATCAAAAATTATTTTTAATTGGAAAATAAACTGTTTAGTTTTTAGTTGTGAAGATAGAAGTGCCGTTTCCTGTTTAAACACTATTTCTCAAATAGTCTAAAATATTTTTTAATGTAAACAGAATTGAACGTTTTTTTTTATAAATGAAAACGAAAATAAACTCTTAATACAATGATATCAACCTAAAAATATCAACTGATAAAATGAAGTCTCAAGAAATCATTTTTACGTAAGTGCGACATAATAAAATTTGATCGATAATATATGAAAAGTTAAATTTGCACGATAAACAATTGTACATAGTGATCAATTAAAACTACATCAAATTCAGTGATTTATACATGTACTAGAAAAATTGTATCGATCTCACATCATAAAGTCCAAGTTTTACAGTGGTGAATTTTTTAAATGCATATCCAGATTACTATTTTGGTAGAAAGATAAATAAATATAAAGTTAATTGTTAAATATTAACGAGATATATTCTAAAATTAATTTTCGAAAAATCTCCTCTCAAAATTACTTGTACAAAATAATTATTTAAAATATTTTCAAGGATGAAACTTAAAAATAATTTTAATTTTAAAATTAAACATTATTATTTTGAAACAATATCAATAATTTTGATTTTTTTATTTATTAAACGTTTACTAGAGCAATCAATACAAAAAAAGAACTAGTTACGAAAAGCACTTAATTTAAGTAACTGATTAAATTTAGATGGGCTGTAGTTGGGTTCCATTACACAAAGTCTAAATTTTAAAATCTATATGTATTTTCTAAACAAAGTGTCTAAGTATTCCGTTATGAACTGACTAGCTAAATATTCAACTAATAGTTTCAAATATAACTTCAATGCTCTATAGCTCTAATACATTAAATTAATAAAATAAAGATGGGAACATATTTTTTTCTTAAAAAAATCGTATTTGAGACAGAACACAAAAAATTTAATTAAATAATTTGAATTACACCTTTATCATCAAATTATGCAGAAAAGACTAAAACTAATCTAAAAAGGGTTGTTAATTTATATAATTATGTAAGAATTAGTCAATGAACATTAGTTATTTATGCACACATTACACAAAATTGTATAATTGCTTTGACTTTACAAAATCACTATCGCTCCATTGTTTTAATGATGAACTCAGTATCACTCATATTCAGTCTCTGTTCTGTCAAGGTTTAAGGTACTTGGCGGAAACAATGTTCTGGCTGATTAGTCACCAAGAAAATAGTCATTGATGTAACTTCTTTGAAAATTATCCAGTAAAAATTTATATTTTGAATAGTACAAATAGTAACAGTATAAATTATGTATGTTTTTATAGTAGTAAAATTAGTCTATATGTTAATACATGTTAACATGATAATTCAAGATAATCATCACTCATTATATCAATTTTAATATTAAAACATCAAACAGTTTTTTTACTTTATTTACAATATTGAGTGAATTTTTAGTCATTCTAAAGGTATATAGTATACTTGTACTATAGTAAACATTTTAAAGATACTTAAAACGTGTAATCTAGTGAAGAAACAACCAATCCAATTTAAGTTCTTGATTGAATGAAAATTCAGAATAACATGCATGTATAATAAAACTTAAACTTTGTACAAATCTATCACCTTCCTAACATAATACCATTTTAAACGAATTTGTGGCACTTTAGTAAAACAAATCAAGAAAAGATATATAAAAAACAGAAGAATTGGAATTAGTTGATTGTATGCCAAGATCTTGCAAAGGAATAAATAAAAGCACCACGGCACACTGAACATGTCACTTTAAAAGGAGGAGTATGATAATTTTGGCATAAAATTATTTTTTAATAATGACGGTCACGTCGACTAACCTACTGGATTAATGTCACAAAATATTTTATAAATTAAAATTCCAAATTCATTGACAAATTTCAAAAATATACAATTCAATTAAAACTAAGCAGTAAATATATATATATATATATATTAATTAATAATTAATTTTTGTTTTAACTCATAGCATATATGCTATGAGTTAAAACGTGAATATCACTGTCATTGATAATCACTGTTTATGTAAAACAAAAAAAATTGAAATAGGCTTAGCTTTATTTATCTAATATAGGGTTTCGGCGCGCTGGTGTATTTTGTAATTGACGCGTTTTTGCTTAAAAAAAAAAATTGTTCAGCTTACCCCCGAAAAATGTTTGGCTACCTCACTATCTATCACCCTTATATAACTTGCTTATTAAAAATTTTAAATATGCATAAACGCAAGAACATAAATTATAAATGACTTAAAATATATTTTTACCAGTTTAATCGAGTTCATCAGTTAAGCCCTCAAAAGTCTCAGGGTGCACTTTTCGATGCGTTTTGGGGCAACTGCCCAAGGTAGCTTCTTATGTTAACACTATATTGAACACTATGTTCAATGACGTGTTGAGTTGAGTTAAAACAGTGTTTTGATTTGAAATATTTTAGTTAAGAAACATAAAAAAAATTGACAGTTAATAAATAAATAAAAATGTAATACATTTTTGATCGATATTCATGTGCTATAACCATTGTAAAATAAATTAAATAATAAGGAGACAACCAAATTGAATGAAAACAAATCAGTTAACAATGCAACAGACAAAAGCATTTATCCTGTTTACAATTCTAGTATCATCAAGTTCCCACGCACTCTGTGATTTGTTTTGTTATAATTGCTATCGTGTCGAGTGTCTTGCATAAGTTTTTAGTGAATATAACTAAATATTACTTTCTAGAGTTAAAAATTAAATAGTCCCTATTTTTTCTCCTAAGAAATAAATAAATTATCCTATTTTTTTCATAATTTTCTATCATTTACTCAAATTCTAAGAAAGGTAAATGCTTAAATTATCTATTTAATCTTATGAGTTTATAATGGTTATAATTAGTAAATTACTTTAAAGCATTATACACAATATCGATAAATGACAGGATAATGTCAAAAACTAAAAATCCTTGAACTGAAAAAGTAATTAGATTAAAACCAAAGGTAATTTGAGATTACAAAACACAATATGACATCGATATGTACCTCTGATTCTATCAATAGTTCGAATTAAATTATCTTAATGCAAAAATGAACACAATATTTAGAAAAAAATAATTTATATTTATTTTGTTAACCTTATAAAAAAACAATTATATCGTGAATATTTTCCTGTATTTTAAAATTTAATTACTAAGTAAAGGTATGATAATATTATTAAATGATGAGTCACATTTAACATTTTTAAAATGAAACAATAGTTGTATCTTTGAAAAAGACATCAAAAAATATTAAGTCTAATTTATTGTTCAATTATTTTTATGTATTATTTATTATTTAATAAAACACTTAATGAAAATATGTAAATTTAAATTTTGAGGAGATTATTATTTAAATTATCGTAAATTCAAAAAGAAATTATTTCAATCAATATGGGTACTTTTAATCATTTATACCTGAAAAAATTGTTGTTTTCATTCATTAAATCAAATGTTATACTAGGGTCATAGACAAAAACTTAGGGATATATTACGGAAGTTAAAACTCTGTTTCATATTCTTTTCTATATTAACCATTGTACTCGCCATTCTCCTATACTTGAAGGGTTCAACATCATTACCCTAGCGGGATTATACCCCAAAGGTTGTTAATAATTGACTGACTTTGAAATGTATTTAATAGTAAACGCTGCATTTACATTGTGCTCGCAGTACATTGCATATTAAACCCGTATAAAAGGAAATATTGGTTGATATACAACATTTCCGTTAAATTCTTATGGAATTTAAAATACTGCTTAAGAATTGTGTACTTTTTTTAAAGGGTAGCCTGTGCGTATTTATAAATTTCGTCTTCTTACAATTACGTTTACAGTCGTAATTCTTGTTTTTTTGTGTACCCAATTTAGTTGATATCAAGACCGGTCATACCACTTATTATTATCTAGAGTTGATTGAACTAATATTATGTGTACCAAG